TCTACTTCCGTAGTGATACTGCCTCAGAAACCCAAGGAGGGGTTGCTATGAGTCGGGTCCAACTCGATGGCACATAACAACAACAACAACAACAACTATGAATAGTGTGGTAGTTAAGTTTGTGTGTCAGCTTGGCTGGGCCTGGTTCAGTGGCTGGGCAGCTGGATGTGGTATTCCCCATGATGAGACTGGTAATCAACTCCATGGTGGAATCAATCTATTGTGAGCAGCTGAGTAGCTGTCTTAGGGATGTGGTCTGCTTCCTGTATATAAGGAAAAGCTTTGGGAATGGTCTCTAGTTTATGGCACTCTTGAACCCTGCATGTAACTGTGTCGTTGTTCAGAAGTCTGCTATGCTCTGCCGATCTTGGGACTTTCAGTGGACTTGAATTAATGGCCTGCCATGTGGTTTGGTAACATCAAGACTGTGCCTTTTTACTTGTCAACCTTGGGCTTGTCCGTCTCAGCAGCCAGCAGCTGCCTGAGTGAAGAAAAGCCTCTACTTCCAGTGGGCTGAGAGCAGGAGGCAGAACTGAAGCCCAAGGTTGAGGGGCTTTCACCCAGCCCCTAGAGCCTGGCACTTGGAACTCAGACTTAAAGCCTCCAAACTGTAAGAGAATGAACTTCTGTTTGTTCAGCTGTCCCATTTGTGGTGTATTCTTGTCAGAGCATCACTGGTAACCAGAACAAATACTCATGTACATATTTTTACGTGGCCATAAATTTTCCATTTTCTTGAGGACTATGAGGAAAGAGAGAGAGAGAGAGAGAGAACAATGGACTTGTTGAGTCGTACGGCAACTCGTTTTACATTTCAGGAAAACTACCAAACTATTTTCCAAAGTGCTGGCACCATTTTATATTCCCACCAGCAATATATGATGGTTCCAATTTTTCCATAACAAATTATAGATAATATTGAGAAGAATAGGAATTCCAGAATACTTCAATGGATTCATGAGGGACTTGTACACAGACTAAGAGGCAGTTATTTCAATAGAGCAAGGGGATACTGCATGGTTTAATATCAGGAAAGGTGTGTGTCAGGGTTATACACTTTCACCATACTTATTCAGTCTTTGATGCTGAGGAAATAATCCAAGAAGAATGAAGAAGAACACAGCATCAGGATTAGACAAAAACTCATTAGCAACTTGTGATATTCAGATGACACAGTCTTGCTTGCTAAAAGTAAAGAGGACTTGAAGCATTTATTGATGAAAATCAAAGACTACATACAGTCTTTAGTTTATACCTCAGTTAAATTGCTCCTTAGTTAGATTACACCTCAGCATAAAGAAAACTAAAATCCTCAGAACTGGACCAATAAGCAACATCATGATAAATGGAGAAAATATTGAAGTTGTCAGGGATTTCATTTTACTTGGATCCACAATCAATGCTCATGGAAGCAGCAGTCAGGAAATCAGATGATAACGTTGACACCAAAACCAGGCAAAGGCATCACTAAAAAGGAAAACTACAGACCAATATCCCTCCTGAAAATAGATGCAAAAATCTTCAACAAAATCCTAGCCAACTCCAACAACGTATCAAAAAAATAATGCATTATGACCAAGTGAGGCTAATACTAGGTATGTAAGGATGTATCAACACTAGAAAAACAATCAGCATCATCCATCACATAAATAAAAGGCATTTGATAAATTCCAACACCCATTCCTGATTTAAAAAAAAAAAAAAAAAAAAAACTCTCAACATAATAAAGCGCATATATGCAAAATCAGCAGCCAACATTATTCTCACTGGAGAGAAACTGAAACCATTCTCCTTGCAATCAGGAACCAGACAAGGATGCCCTCTATCACCACTTCTATTCAACATTGTATTAGAAGTCCTAGACAGGGCAATAAGACAAGAAAGGGAAATCAAAGGTATCCAAATTGGTAAGGAAGAAGTCAAATTATCCCTGTTTGCTGATAATATGATCCTATACATAGAAAACCCAAGAGATTCAGCAAAAAAAAAAAAAAAAACTATTGAAACTATTTGAGAGATTTAAGATAGTGGTGGGATACAACATCAACATACAAAAATCAGTTAGATTCCTCTATACCAGCAAAGAGATTGCTGAAAAAGAAATAAGGAAATCAATACCATTTACAGTAGCTACCAAAAAAATAAAATACTTGGGAATAAATCTCACTAGGAACACAAAAAACTATACAAAGAAAACTACAAAAAACTACTTCAGGAAACCATAAGAGATCTACATAAATGGAAAAACATACCATGCTTGTGGATAGGAAGACTGAACATTGTGAAAATGTCAATAGTAACCAAAGCAATCTATACATTCAATGCAATCCCAATCCAGATCCCATCAATATTCTTTAAGGATATGGAAAAACTAATTACTAATTTTATGTGGAAAGGAAAGAGACCTCAGATAAGCAAACCACTATTAGAGAAGAACAACAAAGTAGGAGATCTCAAAATCTGCTATACAGCTATAGTAGTTGAAACAACCAGGTATTGGTACAATGGCAGACACATAGACCAGTGAAACTGAATTTAGAACCCAGAAATAGATCCATCAACCTATGGTCAGCTGATTTTTTACTAAGGGCTGAAACCCATAACATGGGGAAGAGATGGTCTCTAACAAATGGTGCTGGCAAAACTGGATAGCCATTTGCAGAAAAATGAAACAAGATCCATACCTCACACCATATACTAACTCCATATGGATCAAAGACTTAAATGTGAAACCTAAAACTATAAAGTTCCACAAAGAAAAACTAGGGGCAAATTTGGGGGTCCTTATTTATGGCATAAATAGACTACAAAGCATAGCCCAAAATGCATGAACAGCAGAAGATAAACTAGATTAATGGGACATTCTAAAAAATTAATTTTTTATGTGCTTCCAAAGACTTCTCCAAAAGAGTAAAAAGATAACCTACAGATTGGAAAAAATATTCGGCAATAACCTATCTCACAAGGGATTTATCTCTAAAATTTATAGAAAACTTCAACACCTCAATAACAAAAAGACAAACCATCCAATTAAAAAATGGACAGAAGACATGAATAGATACTTCTGCAAAGATATTCAGACAGCTAACAAACATGAAGAAATGTTCACAATCATTAGCCATTAGAGAGAGGCAAATTAAAACAATGAGATACCATCTGGCCCCAGTGGTAATAGCAGAGTTCAACAAAACAGAAAATAACAAATGCTGAAAAGGATGTGGAGAGATTGGGACTCTCATACATTGCTGGTGGGACTGCAAAATGATACAACCACTGTGGAAAGCAGTATGATGCTTCCTTAAAAAGTTGGAATTAAAAATTCCATTTGATCCAGCAATTCCTTTACTAGGTATATACCCTGAAGAAGTGACAGCCAGATCAAGAACAGATATATGCACACCCATGTTCATCGCAGCACTATTTACAATAGCCAAAAGATGGAAACAACCTAGGTGCCCATCAACAGAAGAATGGATAACCAAACTATGGTACATACATACAATGTAATACTATGCAACCCTAAAGAATAATGTAGAATCTATAAAACACCATATAATGTGAACGAACTTGGAGGACATTATGCTGAGTGAAATAAGTCAATAAGAGAAGGACAAATATTGTATTAGTTCATTATTGTAAAAAGTCAGGGAAAGGTTTATATATGGAAGGAAACTTTCTTTGTTGGTTACCAGGGGTAGGAGGGGAGGGGAGGAAACACTGCAAAAATTTAAAAAAAAAAAAGAAAAATCAAATAACTGTATTGCATTGGGCAGATCAGCTGCAAAGGACCTCTTTAAAGTATTAAAGAGCAAAGATGTCACTTTGAAGACTAAGTTACACCTGACCCAAGCCATGCTATTTTCAATAGCCTCATATGTATGTGAGAGCTGGACAGTGAATTAAGAAGATTTCAGAAGAATTGATGCATCTGAATTGTGGTATTGGCAAGGAATATTGAATGTATCAAGGACTGCCAGAAGAACAAACAGATCTGTCTTGTATGAGTACAACCAGAATGCTTCTTAGAAGCAAGAATAGTCAGACCTTGTCTCTTGTACTTTGGTTATGTTGTCAAGAGACCAGTCCCTGAAGAAGGATATCATACTTGGTAACATAGGAAGTCAGCGAAAAAGGGGAAGACCTTCAATGAGATGGATTGGCACAGTAGCAGCGATGATGGGCTCAAGTATGGCAATGACTGTGAGGATGGCACAGGACTGGGCAGTGTTTCATTCTGTTGTACATTTAGTTGCTATGAGTTGGAACCAACTCGATAGCACCTAACAACAGCAACAACAATGGGTGTGAAGTGGTATCTTTTGTAGTTTTGATTTGCATTTTCTAAATGACTAATGATGTTGAGCATTTTTTCATGTGCTTATTGGCCATTTGTATTGTTTTCTTTGGAGAAATGTCTGTTCAAATCTTTTGCTCATTTCTTAATGGATTGAATTGAGTTGTAAGAGTTCCTCATACATTCCGCATGCAAGTCCATCATCAGAGATGTGGTTTACAAATATTTTTCCCATTCTGTGTATGATGTGAATTGGTGAATTTTAATATTTGTAGCTTTCATATTTTCCCTCTAAACCTGAATTTTCAAAATTGCCTCAGTATATCTGCAGAGTGGGGCAGAGTGGGTCATAAGCCAGATAACCATGAAGTGTTCCCTGAGAGAAGTGAATTCACATAATATTCTGTTCATCCAAAGCTACTCATTCACGAAAACATAGACTTACCTGAAGTCAGCTGGTGAGCATCTCAGCCAGTGAAGGAAATTTTGTTTTGATAGAAGAGAGGCCTTCAGACCTAATTAGAGTTTGGATTTATTAGTGAAAATAATTGGAAAATCATTCCTGTATTTTCAAACTGCTCAAAAGCAGTTGGATTTCTGTTCAACCTCACCATTTCCTTTTTCTTTTCTCCTCTTCCTTTTTTCTTTTTTCTCTCCTTTTGTTTTCCTTCTCTCTTTTCCTACTCCCTGTTTCTATTTTTTTCAGATTGAAAATGGCTCAGGAATCTGTCAGCAAGTTGACATCAGAGAAGAAAGTGGAGACAAAGAAAATCAATCCCACAGCTAGTCTGGTGAGATGCATTTTTCAACCTAATTTCAAGATGTTTTTCAATTATTCCTGAGGTGCACCAGTAGTGTGTCTGAATTTAAAAGAGTAAACTCAGAGAAATGACTGGTAGTATCCAAAGAAGCTGGGGAGTATACAGAATCTGGTAGTATACAAATTTTTTTATTTCACCCAGGGTAGCATATGGTAGAAAGGACTATATAGGGGGTGGGGTGGGGAATGCAAAACATAGCTTCATGTTTTGTATCTGCAAACTCAAAGATCATTGCCAATCAGCTATATTTAGTCACTTGCCATTTCACATGCTTCTACTCCCCACCCTGTTCTGTGATCCTTTTTATCCCAAAGTCCCATTCTCCTGAAATGCTTTTCAAAGCATTTTCAAACTCATCATTTCCTTTTCCCTGTTAAAGAAAAGGGCAGAGATTATCCTCTTTTGACAGTTGTGGAAATTGAGATACAGAAAGACACAGCCTACCTGGAGTCACTTGGCAATGGATAATAAAAACCAACACCAGAGTCAGCGTCCCCTGTTGTCCATCCCTGGGCTGGTATGTGCTCCTAGCTTTGAGGGAAATTTTTCTCCAAAGTCCACTATTCAGTAAAGATCACAATAAATTTCCACCCATATGTGACAGCTAGTAGTCTGAATAGCTGAATCATTAGGAACCAAGAGTTTTGGGGTTCCGACTGCCTGGGTTCAAATCCCAGCTCTACCAGTTACTAGTTGTAAAACCTTAGTGAAGTTTCTTCACTTCTTAGTGCCTGTTTCTTTTTGGTAAAAAGAGGGAAATACTATCACCTTTGCTTTACAGTTATCTTGAGGATTAACTGAAAAGGCATGTAAAATGCCTAGCACATAAGAGGAGTTTGATAAATGCTAGATATTTTTCTTATCATTTCAAATTTCTGCAGCTATAGTTGTCCCTTCAGTGGGGAACAGCAATGGGTGTTAAGTGGGAGTATCACTCCCTTCCCTTTGATTTGCAAACCCTACCTTCCCTGTGCCCTGATGTCCCACAATTAGTTATTTTATCCTTTTGGTAGCAAATACTTTTTTGCAAGCTGCTTTAAATCCTTTGAAGATCTAAATGAAGTAAAGTTATAAAGTGAAATTATTTGACCATGGTGTCTCTAATAACAAACCCATCAATAGCTAAATGCATGTTGCTTAAAGCTGATGAATGAGAAATAAACCATGCAAAATCCAGGGCCTTACAGCTTGGTCAGAAAAAGGCAAAGTTATTGCCCATAGACTCTACCTGAATATACACATCCATGTGGTGGCCACCCTGATTTATGCTGTAGCATTCGGTCATAGGTTGACCTCCACTCCAAGCAAGCTCCCAATTGTGATCTTCAGCGAGTTAAGGTCTTTTATTATTTGTTTAGTAGGTAGGTTGGTTGGTAGGTTGGTTGGTTGGTTGGTTGGTTGGTTTGGGTGGAAATTAGGGAAGAGCTTACAAACTGATTCCTAAACTTAAGTTCACAAGTCAAGAATGAGTCTTTGAAAAATCATTTTAAGTTTATGTTGTTGTTGTTGTTGTTATGTGCCGTTGAGTTGGACCCGACTCAGAGCAACCCCTCCTTGGGTTTCCAAGGCAGTATCACTACGGAAGTAGATTGCCCCATCTTCCTTCTGAGAAGTGGCTGATGGGATTGAACCACCAGCCTTCTGGTTAGCAGTCAAGTGCCTTAGGCCCTATGCCAATTTAGTAATTAACTGCAACTTTACATGTCATAGATCAGAAGCAGCTGAGGATGCATTTCTCAAGGGACTTCTTTCTGTCTCTGTTCTTCCCCAAAGTGTGTGCTTTTCCCATTTCCTTTTTATTCTTCCATTAGTCCTCCCCTAAGAGAAGGATAAGTAGCTCTAGTGGTACGGTGGTTAAGGCATTTAACTGCTAATCAAAAGGACAGCAGTTCAAACCCACTAGCTACTCGTGGTAGAACGATGGGGCAATCTGCTTCCATAAAGATGTACAGCCTTGAAAACGCCATGGAGCAGTTCCACTCTGTCCTACAGGGTCTCTATGAGTCAGAATCAACTTGATGGTAGTGGGTTTTAGTTTTGATTTAAGAGCAGGACACATTCATCCTTACTATGCTTAATATATTTACTTCTCCAGAGTTAGAGAAACAGTGACAGTCTATCTTTCTGTATTGTGTACTCTTTTATTTTTACATATTCTCAACAAACCTCCATCCTCTTCTTTAGAAGAAGGAAGCTCAGAGAGAGCAGAGCAGAACATCTATAACAAAATGGAAACTCTGCCCTTCTGCATAAACTAGACCTAGTCATCTTTCATCTTACATACTCTTTGTTCAGTTGTGCCAAAAAGATCATATGCAGATATGTTCAACTTGGAAACAGTGGCTTTTCATATCTAGGCTCCTTAGGGACCATTTCTTGAACACATCTTAATTCCATCAGTGGGTGAGTGGGGAGGTGGTCCTTAAATAGCAATACCCAGTTAGGGTCTTTGTCACAAAAGAAGAGAACAGAACCGCTCACCGTCTCTTGAGTTTGATGTAGCAATGTTTGGTGTTCTGGATGGATACGTTGGTTGATGGACTGGTTGTTGTTCATTCTTTGCATGCTTGTTTGTTTGCTTGGGAATTAAGGGTTATAGGTTGAGAGGGCAGGTAACCAAATGTGTAGGGAAAGAATAGAGATAGTTTCATTTCTCAGGTGTTTGTGACTACTCTATTCCGCATTCTAGACTACCTGCTTGGCAAAATTTGAGAAAGAAAGAAACTTAGAGAATTGATAATAAGCTCATGTTTTTTTTTCTTAAATAACAGAAAGAAAGACTGCGTCAAAAGGAAGCCAGTGTGACTACCAACTAAAACAAAGACACATGAAATGATGGCAGTGGAGATGTAGTACCTTGCATAATCTTTGCAACAACAGTGCTGTGGAGTGCTTGAAAGATACGTCACTAAATGTTTGCCTTGCTCATCTCTTTCTAAGGACATCTGAGGGGAGCGCCCTGTGCCTTCTTAACAAAGTTCCTTATTAAGCCACAGGAACAATGAAAAGCTATTTAAGGAGACACTGTTGTGGTATTTATTAATTGTTTTCTTGTAGAAGTCCACAATCCATCTGCCTGCTATAAGACTGGAGAAAATACCAAGATTTTCCAAATTTCTAAAGAAGGTGAGATTTCAAACCCTCTAACCCAAGCTTGATATATGTAAACTTGTTACAGAAGAAGACAAGGACCCTCATGACAACTTCTTTGTGTTATTTCAAGTCTTGGATTTTTACACATTGCTGTTTTTATTATTTGTCTTAATTTTTATCTTGTTGCAGCAAATCCTGATGCATCTTTTTCACCAAAAAAAAGTTGAAGTTTTATCTATTTTACTAAAACTGTTTTTTAAGTTAATATTTCCCAGACTAGAGAAATATTTTGTTCATGTAATAGGGGGAGAAAATGAAATTTAGGGAGAAATAGCCATAAACTTCATCCTGAAGAATGAGTTATGATATAGGGAGTTGACATCAGCCAATGAGTGAGGCTCATTGTTTATTTTTATTTATGTCAGTGCAGTGTGGGATCCCCAGCAGGGATTATGTACCCCAACTCCCAGGAGAAATGGTGATAGCTGATCCAGGACAGCCACAAGATCAGAACACCTGCTGGATAAGAGGCACAGTGATAGAAACATCTTTTTACATTTCAGGCCGTTTGTGAATGGGTAGTGCTACGTTGACAGGCAGTTCATCTCCACACATGTCCTGTTCTGTGACTGTGTGGCTGGACCTCTCTCTCCACCCCCATGAGATAGTTTCCAGGCAGGAGAATAAATGATACTTGCAGCTTTTGATCATGACCTTGGCTTATTGACATGTGAGGTAGGGGGAAACGGGGGTCTTTGATGCTGAGAAAAATTAAGTTCAGGAAAAATGTTTGTTACATCAAAACAAAAAGATGATTACTTTAACATTAAACTGTGAGCAGAATACTATGCATGAACAGATTTTTCTGGCCCTGAAACCTGTATAATCACTGCCTCTTGGTTCACACACCTCACCTCTGACATCCCCTTCACACCCCCCTTAAACAAGCACCAACCTTTTAATCTATCTTGTCAGGGAAGGGAAAAGAGGACTGAGTATGGATTGAGAACAGGCTCAAAGGCTGTCATTTTTTAGGCCATGAAGGGAGAGAGGTCAAAGCTTTCTCCCCCAGTTACTGGAGGACATTCTAGAGATGAGCAAGAACCTTGAATCTCTTCCCAATCCAACTGCCACATGTAGCCTGCCCCTTGCCCCACATCTTTCCAGAAATTATTAACTTGCTACATGCCCGAGTACCTCCCAGAATATGTCTGCTATTCGTCAGCCCCCTCTGGGACGCTTATAATAAATACAGCTAGCCAAAGCAGTGCCGTGTTCTAATATAATGCTGATCTCGGAAATGAAGAAGGCACAACCATGATCAAATCAAGTCACTGAAGCCATGTTCATGCAGGTGCTGACACCTTTTCTAGAAGTTCAAAAGAATGGAATATGGTGACATAGTTGGTTATTGTTATTATTCATGAAAAAGGGATGAGAAAAGCAAGATAGAAAAACTGGTATGGAACGTCCATGATTGAAAAGGCTTAATGTTACTGGGAAGTGAGACACCGTCCACACTGCTTTCTTAATGTGGTTACTCTTTATTTTTACTTAACTGTGAAGAAAGCCAAGGGAGTTCATCATTTTAAAATAAATTTCATTTATAGCCATCCTTTGCTCCATGATATTACTTCTAATTGTATCATGCAGAAGAAAACTGCTTGTTCTGGTTATGCCATGGAAATCAACTCTGGATTCATTGACATGAATACAAGTCTAGGTCCTTGTGGGTCCTTATAGACTCAATAGGCGAGAACAGCAGGAGGTTTTCAATGGAATCACTGTAGTCCACTTCAGGTCTCTTAAATAACTTGGTCACAAGAAAATCATTGAAAATAAGCAGAACTATTATCTTGGCCACATAACCCGGAAAGGACATACTCTCAGGGAACCAATGCTGAAGAATAATGAGTGGAAACATTTAATTTGAGAGTTGGACTAATACAACCCATGTTTGGTTTCATCCTAGTTAAAAGAGTATAAATTGGCAGTAAAATGCATATTTCTAAGGAGGCTGCCTTTGCCAGGGAAGCCTGGTAGTTTTGTAACACTAGTCGAACGTAGCAAAGAGTGTTAGAGCTTGAAGACACAGCAGCAGAATCTCCATTATTCTATTGATTGATGCATTAGACTTATGTGATGCCTCTCCCACGGGCACAGGTGTCCTGCATAGTTGACACAGCTTTTGTGTCAGACTTAAATTGGTGCTTAGTAAAGGTTTGTAAGAATTTGCTCAAGATGGGCCATCTAAAACAATCTGGAGCCCTTTAAAATGAACCCTCTAAAATGCAGTTGGTCGTATTAAATACAACAGGTGTCTCTACCCTTTTCATGGAGAGGAGATACTTGGGAGACCACATAGAAGCTTGAGCATTTCAGGCAAGTGGGATTTAAGTGGCTGCCTCTGGGCACAGCCCTCCCTGAACTAACAAGCAGTGTGGCCAGAATTGCTACCCTGTGTTGAACCAGACACTCACACTTGACTTACTGGTTAAGACTTTGATAAGACTTTGCTAAACCTTAACTTATGTGCACCTTGATCTTTCCCTAGCCAGGATTCATTAAATCTGAGGGCACAATTGGATAGTAATTCAGATTCTTGCTGAAGCAACTGGCAATAATCATCAAGCAGGTGGATATTTTATATATTAGTACTAAACCATTGAGGTACTCAAACATGTTGGGTAAAAAGTGAGGTGTCAAAACTCAGGTTAGAAGGAGGTCTGCTATATGGCTTTTAAACTAAGAAGAGGCTGTTTATCATAAAAAAAAAAAAAAAGAAAGAAAGAAAAAGTGTGGCCAGCCAGAAATGTATGATGATGAAAAAAAAAGCCCAGACTGCCCTGGCCCTGCTTCCCAACAGTTGCCTTTCAAACCCTTGAGCTCATGTTTATCTCTTCAGATGTTTCCTGCAATTACTTAGGAATTGGGCAGAAAGGATTTCTGAAATATAGAAAATAGAATAAGGAATCTCAAAGGTGCTATTTAAACTTTAAATGGTCTAGCAGAAACAAATTGCCAACATAGTTGAGGAGTTGAATGTCAGAATGGGTTGGTTGTCACCCCCTCACTCCGAGTAAGGATAATAAACTGCAAACCTGCCAAGCCCCTCCTTTGTCCATAAGCTCCATCAGGAAAGGCATTACTTAAATGAAAAGCTCCTATACTGCTGGTGGGGAAACTGGAACCACTAACAGATGCAACAAAACTCTGATGGCATTGGACAGTCCAAGCAGACAGAGAAATGGTCAGACCATTGGGTTCTTCCAAGGACCACAAACAGATGTAACAGAAAAGCTCTGAGTGTAGTTTTGCCTGTTGGTCTGTTATTGCACATCTCTCTATTACGAAATCCGCTGTTGTAGAAATCCTAAGCACATAAGACTTGGAACAGCTGTGATGGCTGATGGGCATGAACAAAGTCAGAGCCATTTACTACCCACTTGAGACTTTAGCCTGCACTGGACAGCTTTTAGAATACTGATTTGAAAGAGACAGGATTGCCCTGAGTAGTTTACTTTTGAAAAAGCCACGTACAAGAAGACTGAATAAAGAAATGAGTTTTCGTTCACGTCTGCTACTTTGTCCTCATAGAGAAATCTGCAACAAAAGTGAAGCAAGTCTATGTGGCCAAACTGATAGAATTAGAAAAGTACAGATCATTTTTAGCCTTTCCAAATTGCATATAGCTTGCTGGTTATCTTTCCATTGTCAAGCTATAGAAACCATCCAGCTGTATGGAAATTTCTCTATTGGTGCAGAATTGGCTTACAGGAAAGCACCCTCAGAAATAGCCTTCAGTAGATCCTTTCTCTTTTAGACTTTACATAACAATATTTATACCTCCTTTAGCAATTGAATCCAGACATAACCAAGCTCAGTTGCACAACTATGTGTGACTGAAAGGCCCATTTCAGTCATTTCTGCACACTCTGTTAGCTGTTGACACCTTGTTAGAAGCACTGAATTTTACTTTCACAATTCTTCATTTCTCCTCCCAAGGAGTCGGGCGATCTACCAACCTCTCCCAGATCAAAACTTTGCTAGGAAGTAGTGAATTTAAGAGAATTCTAACTGGAACTAGTTCAGTAGTCTAATTTTTTCCAAAACTCTTAATCAACACTGTGATATAAATTTAGCATTTGGGAAATTTGCATAGTTAACAACTTACTTGGAAACATGAAGATATTAAAAGGGTAGCTAATTAACTCTGTCTCTTAACCCACCATGCAGGTATCAAGGAAGAGATGAGGGAGGCAAGTCAAGCGTTATTCAGTCAGTCCTCTATCCTCAAAGGGAGTTTGTGAGATTTGTGTCCCTTTCTACTCCCAGTCCTCTCCCAGCTACTAGTGATAAATGGTGGCATCAAGGACATTTTTCTCCCCATTCCTCTGTTCCCTGACCTGGTGGTTCACATCTTTGAAGTACTAGTTACTGAATATCTTCTCCATTCTACCACCTTGGGAACACTGAGTTAATCTCAATTTTGTTTTTTAATATGGAACTGACAGATAAAACAACCAGTTTATTGTTCTACTTTCCATGTACATGCCTACATATATATATTTATATATATAATCCTAAATATGCTGAGAAACTCTAGTCTGTCTTTCTCCTAGTATATAGTGTGAGTTTACAATGCATTATCTAGCAGATCAAATAAAGAGTGAAATGTTTTCAGGCAAAGTAAACATTTTTGGCAAAGTTTTATCTGCTTTCC